GGATAGTCAAATAACCAGTTGGATATGACACTAGATAACTGGTCACAATGAAGATGTCTTCCTGAAGTCATATTCATTCAATTCGGAATTCTAAGGCTTGTTATTTGTGAAAGTGTTCGTCGTCAACTTAACTGTCTAAGTATCAGACAATGCATCCCACAACCAAATCACACTCCACCGATTTAGGTGACTGTAAATTACTCTGACCATGATGCATAAATGTGTTTCAAACCTCTGAATTCCAGATTACTCAACGAGAATATTTCAAATGACTTTTACAACTGTGTAATGCTTCCTGAGTTAATAAATAAATAAGTTGTTCCTGTGCATAACTCCACTCATAATTAATGAAATAATTAAGGGAAATAAATAAGTCTGATAATAGTTCCTCTTCAATATTTTGTTAAGTCACTCATACAAAACAATAAATTCATTGAGTACAAATGTTTTTATTTTGTTAACTCGAAAACAAAATTTTTAAAAAAGGATAAATTTCGCATGTACCCCAGTAAGTTATAAGAATGTCATGTAAGGCACAATTAACTGCAAGTTTGTTAGCTAAATTAAGCATTTTTGAAAAGAAAACAAAGGCGAATTTGTATTTATGCAATTTTTATCTGTTTGAAGAGATTTAAATAGGGTTGATTCAACTCAACAATTGCTTCATTCCCTGCAGTTTTGTATTTCTCGATAACTGTATCACCAAATTGTGATGACTTTCATCACTTACAGTTAATTGTCCTTTACACGACATTCTTCGAACTTACTGGATGCGAAATTTATCCTTTTTTTAAATTTTGTTTTCGAGTTAACAAAATAAAAACATTTTTACTCAATGAATTTATTGTTTTGTATGAGTGATTTAACAAAATAATGAAGAGGAACTATTATCAGACTTATTTAATTCCCTTAATTATTTCATTTGTGCGTCGGTGGTACAGCAGTTAGGACGCTCGCCGACCATGCACATCGTCTGGGGTTCAATCATCGGCCGACGCACTCCTTTACCTCACTAAGGCAGAAATAAAAGCTGGTGAAGAGGGAAGATTAAGCATGAGGCTAGCAATCCCATCCTATAAAAATAAACAGAAACTGGGAACGCGAAGGAATAAAAAAAACATTACTTTAAGATTACCTATCGAATTCATGCTAACTAAGTCCCACACTTCTAAAGACAGCGGAGGTCATGAATTTAAGACAGACGTTTGTGTACTAAACAACACTTCTTTAGGTAAGCTTTTTTGTTGACTTCAAATATATTTGACTTCATGATTGACCTTCATGCATGTGAAATTTCAAAATTATGGGAAATCAAATTGAAAACTTTTAAAAATACCTAATCCAAGCCAAAACTGATACCATTCTGCTATAGGTTGCAATTCATTCCAGTGTCAACTTATTCATCAACATGATTTCCACACACTGTTATATGAAACAGTCTCAATTGGCTTAACACTCACTCTTCAGTGAATAGCTAAGTGACTGTTCATGTTCGGCCGTCCTTTAAAAAGTATAAATATGTCTCTGTATACTACTGATTGATTGATATGAGTATCTGAATGCCGCTCACATCAGCTCATAGTACTTGCGAGTCAGATAGCCGTCTCATTTACCTGGAGCCGATCTCATCACAGGTGTACCCGGTTTAGCTCCACTCAGAGATCACTTCTAGCCAACTGTTCACCTCAGTCAATCAGTAGTACACAGCACCATGCATTTATGCTTGCTTTCTATATTGCTGTTGATAGTATTGCCATTTCAATTCTTTTTATTTGTACTGTAGTGCACAGAGATGTTATTCACACAATCCATTCATTGTGTAATGATATAAACGTGTTACTTATGAGTAGTAAAACAGTTATTATAAGTATTCAAAACAAGAATTTTGTCACTGTGGTTGACCAAGATATGAAAATGACTTCAATAATATTGTTTCAATGAATATGATTCCATGAAAACTTAAAAGTCAGAAATCCTTAACTGACATAATTCAAACCATATGATATGTGCTTTCAAAGTATCAGATGACAAGGCGAAAGGTTCAATAAACATGGGAAATACCGGTGTCTTGTGAATGTGTCAGCTAGTAATGTGACCAATTTTTGAGTTTTTTTTTCAATAAGAACTTATCAAATACTGTCAGTTTTACAAGGTGTACAGATCTTATTAGCAGAAACACCGTTCACAGTTATAGCGGGTATGTGAAACAAAAGAATCAGATTTCTAGAAGAGAAATCTGTGAATATATCAAAGGTCAACGTTTGGCGGTCGTTGGCCAACAAAAGTTATATCATCTGAAATATAAGGAAGATGAGAAGGGTGAAGACAGGTGATACTAGACCACGTATGAAGGTTTGATTTTTTCTGATACTTATAAATACAGGTGTTTTTAATTCTATTATTCTATTTGGTTCCTCAGAGAACATAGGGCCTCAACAGAAGATACCCATTTTGTACTGTTCTCAGAATTGTTTTCGGGTTGACCCCAAGGTTGACCGTAGGCTTTCACCTCGTCCTCACGCTGTCTACTTCATTTCACTCTCGGATTGGAGCCCAGCTCGTCGTTAACTAATCAGGTCTCATTTGGGGGCCTGACTGACTGGTGATTTCACTCAACTTTTACGTCCAATCCATCTCTATTTACTTTTGCAAATTTGTTGAGATTTTCGTGTCCCGAGCATCATTTCTCTGACTAATATAGAAGAAGTGACTGCCTTGACACTGGTGCTGAATATTCGAATTTTGTTGTTTATGCCGAATGCAGAAGATTTCCAAACTGATTTCAGAGTGATAAAGATCTGTCCTACCTTTCGAATTCTGGTCTTGACATCCTGATCCGTACTGTGGCGTGTAGTTGTAGTAGTTAGTAAATAAGTGAAGGAAGTGACCTCTTTCAATTTTCTTCCGTTGACGGTGATTGGTGCTTGTTGTAAACTAATGGAATTCAAGTGCTGCATACGATCAAACGCCTCCATAAGCTACTCTTCAGTCAGAGGTGCAATATTTAGTATATTCTAGTCCCAGTAGACTTGCTAGGTTAAAGTGGATACCAGGGTCAGTTAGCGTTGAGGCTTCAAACTTGAATGAATTGTTTTAACGAAGCTGAAAATGTGTCAGTTTGAAATCAGAACATTCTGTAGACTTATAGGTGACGTTAAATTATTTTAAAAAAAAACATGAAGAAAATTGAATACTTGTATAAGTGCTATGCTAATGTATGTGTGTCAGGTGTCCATCTGAAAGAATTGTACGGGCTGTACATTAAAACAGGCTGGTTAAACTAGTTTACTGTCTACATTATTTCCTGTCTTCTACGAGTTGTACATTTCTTAATCTTAATATTGTCAACTATACTTCCTAATTTCCCTATTTCGCCATTTGTTTGAAAATTATATCCAGCAATAATCCTTTTCTTTATTTTGTTTTATTTTAAACTTATGGAGAAAGTATCTTTATCATTTTGGATGTTCACAGTACTGTTATCACTTCTCTCACGTAGTTTCATTACACTTAGTATTGCCTATTTAATAGGGGTTTTGTTGTACTAACAATTTGATGCTAAGTTCATTCTCATCTTCCCATTCCTTCATCTCCAAGTGGGACATAGGGCTTCAAGCTTTGATTTGTGACGGTGTTTTTTTTATGGGTGGAATTTCTAGTCTTTCACCTGACCTTCCCTCTTTTATGACCTTAATAGCAGCATTTAAAGTAGCTAGGGTCTTAGGAGTGCGTCAGCCGCTGGAATTCAACCCAGACCTTCCGCGTGGTGGGCAAAAATACAACCACTAGACCACTGAAGCACAGGTCTTTTACTGTGAGATTTTCTCACCATTGTCACTAAAACTAACTGACAAATAAACTTGGAAGACAACCTACATTCTATTTAGATTCAAAGAAAAGTTTTCCTTTTGTATGAATAGAATTAAGAAGTTGCACACATATTTAACTTTCATTTGCAGCGTCAATCACTGAAAATCTTACGGACAGATGTATGTTACCGAATTTACTCAAAGACTAATAAAATTGTTGATCTCTGTTTTCATAGTTGATTTTTACTGATAATCACTTCTCCTATCATTCTCATTAATTATTTTGGCACCGATAACATTCAGCGACTAACAGTCAAGATAGCCTTACATGAAGATACTAGTGTCTAGAAATAAAAGCTGGGGCGTGCATTTAATCACGATACGAATAGTGGACTCAATTAAGACTCCATAATTCTGATGAGTACATTTTAAATTCTTTGACAAAGATAGAACTGGAGGGAAAGTCTGCTGTTAGCAGCCACGGTAACTCCAACTCCGAAAGCGTATGTTAAAGCTCTTTCAGTTAAAAAGTGCGTAGTTGTGCCTAGGATGTGCTGCCATATGCCGTTACCTGTTCTCAGGTTTGATTACGATCAGAATTTGGGTTCCGTTTGGAGTGAAGCCTTTCAGCCGTTTCTGTGTAGATGGATGCTGACGAATATGAGTGGATTTTTCTTGTCTCCAATCTTTTGGTGTGCTTTCGGGTGCCTTTAACAGGTGTCGGGAACGCTGACAGCATCTCTACTTTGAACAAATCTAAATGCGCCTAAAAATTCTTCCAGAAAATAATGAAATAAAACTTCGGTTCCATATTGTTGGTTCATAGATCTGAAGTAAGGGTTAAGATGAAACGACGGGATGTTACAGATCAAACACTGGGATCATCTTAGAGAAACTACAACAAGAGCATTTGCCAAGCATGTATTTTTTGATCAGGAGGGAGCTTTAGATTTCCGAAGGAGATCAGGTACGAGTTCGTCTGCTTCAGAGTGCCCCTAAAAATCGTTTCTGGTATACCTACAAAGAAGGTATCAAAGACCAAGTTCCCAAAGGTTGACACACACAAACAAACACGCAGTGATTAATTCAATCCTGTTAATTAACAATGGTAAAAATAAACTATTCAAATAACCAAAGGTTAAATCAATTGGAATACTCAAGCTGACATAAATACGAAAGCCAATATCTTACCTTTAACTGGTCGAACATATTCTGTACACAGTGTATTATGACCATAAATACAATATCTAGCACGATAATGTAATTTTTGTTGTAATTTCACTGGTATCTCTGTATAATCATTCCATGATAATGGTTTACAATTCACTAGCTCTACATATCTTTCTTTAGTTTCTGGATAAAATACTTTCCCATTAACGATAATTGTCGGTGTATGGTTTGATGAAAAGTGTATAGTATCCCAAGTGTTTCCATTATCATTATCATTGCTAACAGCAACTTGAGCACAAAAAGCTGGATTACCTCTTGAAAATTGTATTGATTCTTTTGACTCGACTATTTGTATATGACCAGGTATTTCAGGATTAAGAGCTTGAAAAGAATCAGAATAAAAAGTAATGATTACCGCCTGTTGTCTGTATGCACGTGTCTGGAATCAATTCTTGAAAAATATATGCATGGTAAAGGTTTTAACAATAAAAAAGATCTTTAACTTAATTTATGGCAAAATACGAAGAGTCACGGCGTTGGTGGCACAGTGGTAGAATGCTCACCGACCACTTAGGTGGTTCCGGGTTCGATCCCCGGCCACCAATGCACTCCAACACCTTGCTAAGCCAATAATAAGACTGGTAAAGAGAAAAAGATTGAGCATGAGGCTAGCAACCCCATTCCGTAAAAGTAAACACCACTGCTACCGAAACTTCAAGACTCTAGCTTGAAGCCCTATGTTCCACTAGGAACGTAAAGGAATAAAAGAAAACAAAGAGTCACTAGACTTACTTAATACGTCTAATCTGATGGTAGATGTAGTATAAAGCCTTTCAGTAATACACTGTTTAACATCGTCATCGTAATTTCCACTAAAATGAGGAGCTTTAGGTTCTTATTAGATAATGAGCGGTACCATCCTACTTACTGTGAAGTTGATTCATAGTTTAGGCGTTTATTCTCACTGACTAACTGAATTTGTCAGTCCTGTGAAAGAACAATTGAATCAATGCATTTCGGAATGAATAACTCCATGTACACACCTCTTAATTCTATAGATGATCAATTGTGAACTAGCGAACTCTCAGCTAAACCCTCTAGTTTCGTCATTCGCTAATCAAACTTCGAATCATAGAGTGAGCACGGTTTTGCTAAAGATTAGATATGTTCGTTGAAAATCAATACCAATACACAGAAGACACATGTCCACAGCGACATTAAATGTGATTAAAAATAAGCTCAGATTTCATCAAGAACTGACTTCAGTTAGAGAACCGATGAAAACCAGGGAGTACTGAACAGTAGTTTCGTCTCAATTTGGGATAAGTGGATGATTACAGGACGAAATTGCCTGGAGTCCTGCTGAAAAGTTGTGATCTGTAGGGTCCATCGAGATGTCTGTGAAGACAGATACTCACTGACAAGATTGGCTGCCGGTTGCGTTATATATCTCAGACTGACAGGAGTTAGAGTTGATGAGCCACTGGATCCCATCTCAGCGGCTGAATAGTCAACAACTTATTGGATTTTATCCCTGGACGAAATAACTGTCAAGTGCTCCCTGGTTTTCAATGGTTTTCTAACTGAAGTCAGATCGAGGTTAAATCTGAAGCTAACCATATCTCTGCAAACCAACACTTAAAAAACAGTCTCCTGATCCTAACTGGCTGACTATTATTAGTTCATTTGAATAGGTGAATTCATTACATTCATTCAAACATCCATTTTTAAAACCAAAGTTCATTTTTGCTCACACTGATATTATTTACGATACATCTTATTATTCACATTGACATTTTAGAAATCTTAATATTCTGATTGACAAGTGACTGAATCATTGAAGATTAACATTCTTATTGTCCAGAAGGAGGACATATTTGTCAAACTGTCATATATAAGTGATCACAGTTTAACAGAAGAAGGCAAGACACTGAAGCCAAGGTATATATTTTTCATAAATCATACCGCTATTTATGTATATACAGTTTTATATTCTTTAACCAATCACTGAGCGTGTGATTTTGGTTTACATTGAACGACATGAAATAGAATGTTCAAATACGTGTACAGTATTCTGTTGTTAGTGCCGAGTTGGACTGTGGGAATATGTGAGAATCATATTCCGTTGGGACATATTGTCTGTATCACACCCCCACAATAGTAGCATGGAATTCAGAAGCAGATTGCACACTTCGATTGATAAGCCATTTTATGCAGCCAAGATCCCAAACATTGAAAGCACGAAGGTCATACTTAAAAAAAGCCTGTGGGATAACTGGAAGAGTACCCATTACCTTTAACGTACATTTGGTCACACACATGTATGAGCTGTTCATCTACGGAAATAAAGGCTAAAAAAATCACATTCTAAAGGGATTTCAGAAATAAACTGAGTCTGCTGAACCTATTCATGATGAGAACAAAAGCCAAAGTTTCTCAGTTGCGGTACATTTTTTAGATGTGGCATAAGATATATGTCTATAATTCATTTGAGCTAATATAATTAATGTTGATTACTCAGTTTCATAGGACTTTTTGACGGAAGAGTGTTTAAGTTGACGTTATATTTTCACAAACAATTTTTCACCACACTAAACCTTCTTTGGTAAATTCAGGGATTAGGGTAGCCTACAGACAAGCTCTGTAGGCTAGAGGACCCCACTGACCTGATTAGACAAAATAATTTAGTCTACAAAATACTTTGTAATGACTGTTAGGTCAGTTATATAGGTCAGACCAATAGGTCCGGGCTTAGACAGACTATTTGAACATAATAATATAGCTAAGTGCACAATGACTGACCCCATGAGAATGGGTAGCCTAGAGAAAAATTCAGCAGTCTCATTGTCTGCACCAGCATTCACTAATTAATTTATTAATACCAAACACGCGCAACAGGAATGACAACTCCGATTCCAGATATATATATATATATATATATATATAATTATAATAATAATATTATTACGAATAAAACCAAAGGACAAGATATAGTGGATCTATATAAAAACGAATTTTGAAAGTTATGTTAGCAGTGCGCACAGTGCGCAAAGTTCTATCGCTAAATCTGTTTACCTCTATTGACCTTCATTGTCATTTTGACCTTTAGTATAACCTTTTAATTTGACCTATTTCCATTTTATAATTTCTTATATCTTTTTATTAAAAATATAAGTTCATCTGATAAGTACATGTGCATGTGAAGATTGTTCGAAATTTGTTGCTTAAATACATTTCAAGAGTTCAGATATATTGCCTTTTCTTATTGTTTAGTTTAGATTTATAAAAGGAACTAACTAATCAGTTCATCTGTTATTTAATTCAATTTTCGATTTTCCCGTCGATTGATTGGACCGAAGTGCTCGGTCTCAGGCTGACGTGTCGGCTTCTTGTGCAGACGATGTCTGGGCAAGTAATTAGAAGTTAATTGATGGATGGTGACTAGTAGTGGAATCTAAGATGCGCATTTCGTCCTATTTGGGACTCGTTATCCAGGTGTACCTGGATTCCGCAGTGAGTGATGACGTTCCCACCGAGACCAAGCACTTCGGTTCAATCAGTATAAGGGAAAATCTAAAATTCAATTAAATAATTAATTTGACCCTAGATGGCTCTCATGACTCAAGTGGTCTAGTGGATTACGCCTTGGCGTTTGAAACTATAGGCACTGGGTTCGAGCCTCAGTGGGAACATGATCACTCACTGTGGAACGCGGGTACACCCAGATGACGAGTCCCAAATAGGACGAAATGCGCATCTTCGATTCCACTGCTAGTCACCATCCACCAATTAACTTCCAGTTCATTTATTGCTGATCATCCACATAAAACTGAAAACATAATCCTACCAAAGATTAAACCAAAAATTTAGAAGCGTTACCTGGATGACTCATTCGTCATAATCAGAAGAAACGACTTAGACAACACTGATAACTTAATGAACAACCCATTCAACGACATCAAAATCACAAGAGAGGAGAAATTCGAGGGTGAAATTCTATTTGTAGACGTGTTAGTCAAGCAGACAACTACAGTAAAAATTAGGAACTCAAATATACAGAAAATCAACTCACATGGATCATAAACTGAATTAAAACAGCAACAATGCAATAGCAAACAAAGAGATTTGCATACAAACATTATTCAAGAGAGCCAGGACGTATTGCAGCACTCCTGTCTTGAGGAAAACAGAAGGAAAATAACTTATGGCCTTCTTCCACGAAACTTTGTTAAAAGACATTTACATTCAACTTAATCGATCAAATCAAAAGTCTCCAATGAAATCCCTAAGCAAATTGTCCCACCAAATATAAAGAACATCTCCGAAATCAGGGCAAGACTATTCAAACCTTTTGGAATCGATGTCGGCTAAAAACCAACAAAATCGCTTAAACGGACTTTTCGTCAACCAAAGACTCTACAGCGAAAGAAGACAAAACCGACGTCATCTACAAGATAAACTGCAACGAATGTAAATAACATTGAATTGGTCAAAGTGGACGCCCTCTTCGTCTTCGTATCCATGATCATAAACTGACTGTTAAAAGGTAATATCCGCTAACTCATATTTATGTATACAGACAGCCACGAAAATCACTTCGATTGGGACAATGTTCAAATCTTAGACAGAGGAAACACCAGAGAATTTCTAATCCATAAAAAAGGAATCACACCAACAAAAGGTCAACTCCCATTATGGATAAGGGTCAACTTTCCGGCCAAGGAGACAATTACTACCAATACAAGCAAACTAGGGGACAAGAAAACAAGCAAAAACAGCCAGTCACCTGCAAGATTATCAGGAGTGATGACTGGTAAATTCATGGAGAATTTTAAAAGCTTACTTCAAATTGAAGTTTGCGCTGAGAATGTTGTCTAGAAAGACAATGAAAGCTTCGTAATTACACCATATAGAACAGAGAAGACAACTTCACCAAAGTCTAAGCGAATTATAGGTGATATCACTTGCGACTGCTGATGTCTGGGTAATGGGAGTAAGCTTCGTACTGTTCAAGTTTAGCCTTACCTGAATTCCATCATTAGTTTTCTCTTCATGTGAAGAGGTGATTTGAATCGATTGATTGAGAGGACTTGTAGTACTGTTTTCCATTCGTTAAGATGTTTCAAAACTATGCAGTTTTACTGAATGTACAATAAGCATACTGTTAAAATTTCCCAATTTTCTCATTATCTGTCGTCTGACCTATCAGTGTAGGATAGTGCCCATCGAAAATACTCCGTCTGTCTCCACTTATACTGAACTTTATCGAGGTTGTACTGAAGGATATTCAACAAGTTCATTAGTTCACTTTGGTTAAGGGAAAGTTGTGTCATCCTAAACAAGATTGTAACGGGAACACAAGTAAATTTTGTACAACTGTA